AATCTATAAAGAACTCATGCTTTCCCATGAGACAGAACTAGAACAGAGTCCTGGCTGTCCCTCTCAGACTGTGTGACCATGAATATATAACTTTACTTCTTTTCCTCAAGTGGAAATGGGAGTGTCGAGTCCACTCGAGTTGTTTTGCCAGGATGGGGTGGACTCTGAGCAGGCTGACAAGGACAGGAGATCGCTGACAAGATGAGACCAGTCACTTTACATTCTCAGAGGCAGGAAATACCAGCAAAAAAAAAAAAAAAAATGTGCAGAGCAGAGTGAGAGGCAGGGAGGGCTCTGACCAGAGTGAGTCCCTGCTTTTTCAGCCCCGACTTTCTCTGGTGCTTTCTGTGACACAGTGGAATTTCCCACTTGACTTCTTGGTCCCACAGTTCTTTTCCCTGAGGTAATTACTCAATGCTTTGGAGGCTAAGCATCTTCATCTGCAGGATGGGGATAGTATCTGCATCATGTGGTGGTATAACAAGTAAATACAGGGACTGCCAAGATGGCTCAGTGGATAAAACCACCTGCTGCCTAGGCTGACACCTAAGTTCAGACTCCAGGACCACATCATGGAAGGGAAACACCCCCCACCCACACACACAACTGTCTTCATATGTACGTATACATACACAGAAAAAATGTGAGTAAATAATTAAAAGAATTAAACACAGTGGAGCTGGAGAGGTGGTTTCAGATTACAAGCTACTGCTGTTGCAAAGGACCTGAGTTTAGTACCCAGCACCCATGTGGGTCAGCTCACAACCTCTTGTAACTCCAGCTCCAGGGAATCTGGTCTCCAGGGGCACTGGCACTCATGACACATACCCACAATCTCTCTCTCTCTCTCTCTCTCTCTCTCTCTCTCTCTCTCTCTCACACACACACACACACACACACACACACACACACACACACACTAACTAATTAATAGGTGATTTTTTAAAAAAAAAAAACAAAGAATTAAAAGTAAGTGTTCTGTGGAGGGACTGTGTTCTGTGTTCTGTTTTTCACTCTACCTGAATTCCAGAGCTTAGGAGAGCAAGGGTATGACCGAGGTTGTCCATGTTTAACTCAAAGCAGCTTCCAGATAGCCTTGTGCTTAATTACAGGTGTCTGTGGGTGCTGAGACTTTATCAAGTGCAGAGGGACAGGGATGAATATCACAGTGTGGAGTGGAGACCTATGGGTAAAGCTGAAGTACACAGAAGCCCAGGTGGTTGGTAGAGGACCTTCAGTCACTGGGGAAACACTTCTGTGCACTATGATGTTTGATGTCATAGATTTGAGTACAGAATAAAAGCTGACAGATTCTCTGGGAAGAGTATGAGATGCAACTGGGTAGTCATAGCAGGCTGTTGGGAGACAGCAATTGATTTGGATCTTAAGAAATGAATAAGCCAGTGTGGTGCTCACCTTTAATCCCAGCACTCCAGAGGCACAGGCAGTCAGATCTCTGTGACCTCTGGGAGGCCAGCCTGGTCCACAAAGCAAGTTCCAGGATAGCTAGGGTTCTTACACAGAAAAACCCTGTCTTGGGAAGGAAAAGAAAGAAAGAGAAAGAAAGGAAGGAAGGAAGGGAGGAAGGAAGGAAGGAAGGAAGAAAGGAAGGCAGAAAGGAAGGAAGGAAGAGGGAGGGAGGGAAAAAAGGAAGGGAGGGAGGGAGGGAGGATGGAATAAAAAGGTGTAATTTTTTTTCACATGTGTGGACATTTTGCCTGAATGAATGTCTGTGTACTAAGTGCATGCCTGGTGACATGGAAGCCAGAAGAGGATATCAAATCCTCTGGCAATGATCTTGCACACAGTTGTGAGCTGCCAAGTAAGTGCTAGGAATTGAACACAGGCCTTTTGGAAGAGTAGCCAGTGCTCTTAACCTCTGAGTTCCCCAAAAGTAAAATTTTTAAGAGTGAGGGAACCAGCAAGGGCAAAAACAAGTCACAGAAGTTTGGGGTACCTCTAGCCTTAGCTTCAATGTGTTCTGATGCTTAAGATAGGAAACTAGATGGGGATCTGACATCCAAGAGGCCCAGCACAAACAAAGGTGAGCTAGGCCTTCTGGACCTCCTTAGCACTGGAGGAATGTGAACTCCATGCATAAGTGGACACAAAGGAGACAGGGTGTGTACAAGTGTGAAAAATACCCTTGGCAAGATTAGAGGGAAGACTCAGAAATAAAAATAGCCGATGATTGGATGCAGATTTTTTTTTTTCCCCTGAGACAGGGTCTTACCAGGTAACTGACCAGCTGGTTTCCAGCACACAGATCCTTCAGCTGCCTTCCAAGCACTGAGATTAGGGTGTGCACCATACACCTGGCTCTTAGCTTTCAGACACAGAGGTCTTATTATGTTGCTAACATTGGCCCCAAACACCTACTCTAAAAGGCAAACAGAAAAAAGAAAAGAAAATAACCACCCTACCGTATATTCTCTCCAACTCCCCAGAAGCATTCAAACAAAGGGAAACAGTTTTGTTTGTGGGTCTTTATGTTCCTTCAAGTCTGGGACCCCAAACTACATTGCCAGTCCCCAACTTCATTTCATCACACATTGGAGGCCTGCTCCAGTCCCCTGTTCTGCCTCACTGGTAGTTACAAAGGCTGAGAGAGGCCAAACTATATAAGCTAGCATTTCTCTAAACACTACAAACACCAGACAGACAGCCTCCAGCATCATGAGCAGGCTGGAGTCACTGTTGTGTGTACAGACAAGTATCAGTACTCAGCACAGGGAGCCAGAGCCCAAAGCAGCAGCCTTTCTCACCATCATGGAGGTGGGATGGTAGGACTGGGAGGAGTGGAGGGAGAGGAAACTGGTCAGGATGTAATGAAAAGAGAAGGATAAATATAAAAAGAAAAAAATACATCGCCCATTATTCTCCCTCGGAGCACTCTGTCCTTTCCCTTCATATCTGACCTTATCATGACTCACCCTCTATAATCCACTTGTTTAGTGCCTCTCTACATCAATAAATCACAGACTGCAACAAGACAGGACACATGTTTTACTTTCCACTGCTTTAGGCAAGGCCTGGCACACAGTAGGTCCTCACTTAATAAGTGAACAGAATTGGGTGGCGAGAGTAGGACTAGCCTTTTTACAAGCTAAGTGGTTGTGGGCTAAGAGTGACAGTCATTCAGTAGCTAGAGTGCCCTGGGCTGAGCCCTCCAGACTGTGTGGCTACCTGGAAGCAGCTCTAACTCCAGCCCATTCTATGGCCCCCTGCAGGATCCATCTCCACAAGTGTCAATGGGGATCCTGGAAGGAAAGACTTTCACTGGCCTTCTAGCTCACCTGAGCTCCAGCCAAGTCCTAGTATGTTTGAGCACTCCACAGGTCCTAGGACTCTGAGGATGACTCCTACTGACCTTCTGTCTAGCCAGCACTTTGGGGAGGGAGGATCCGGGCTAAGGGACATGAAGCCTTTAACAGCAAGAAAAGGCCTGGAAACACGATTGTCTACAGTTTCTAACAGCTCATGTCCAAAGTGGTGGAGAGGCAAAGCAAGGAGGGAATGACACAAAAATTCCCCAAGAACAACCTCTGCATTCTTCTCCAGGTCCCTTGCTCAGCCAAGTTCTCAGCTTCTCTACCCCTCAGACACTAGCCCAGTCCCCACATGGCCTCTAGCCAAGCTGGAGTTCTAGGAGGCACACATAATAACCCTGATCATCATTGTACCCATGGCACAGAACACAGGCTAAGGCAAGGACACCAACTCAAACACCTCTAGCAGTTCCCTGCCGAGGGATGCTGCTTCCCAGGTTGGGGGTGGGGCTCAAAGTGCAAAAGGACCCTGACTTCCCATCCAGAGGCAGGCCTCCACTCTCTATCCTTCTCAAATCCCTGTTCCAGGCTCAAGATCTGTAACAGAAGGCTGAGGAGTCCTTGAAGTCTGCAGACAGTCTACCCAACCAGCCTACCAGGTCAGTTAGCCCCTGACCTGTGCTCCCCCTCCGCGCTCCCTATCATCTTGGAAGAAGGCTCCCTGGCTTTGTTCTGTTTGCCTTTAAAACAAAGGATATAAGATTTAGTGCTAACTCAACAGTTCTGAAGAAGGGGAAAGGCTTCCTGTTTTACCTGTCTGGTTTGGTGGGCACCCTAAATAGCCGTGGTTTTGCTCTGATGGGTGTGTGAGGACTGAGGTGGAGTGCCTTGGGGAACACATTTGGGTGTGCAAAGTGCCTTGCTCACAGAAGGGAGTGGACAAATGTACAGGGACAAACTGAGCAGCTCACAACCTTGGCTTTGTTGCTTGCTGCCCTCAGCAACCTTGGGAAACTCTTAAATCCTGCCCCAGAGTCTCCTACCCGTAGAACCACAGTGAAGGGAACTGCCATCCCCGGCATGGTTTGGAGACCAGGACTTTGGAATTGATATTTTGTAACCATCAAATATGAATCATTTTAGAACTGGAAGTCCCAGCAGAGGCTTCAGAATCTCGTTTCTCCCCTCACAAAATAGTGATTTTGAGATGAAAAAAGCTTAGCAAAACCCTGCTCTGGGCTAAGCAAACACAACTAAGATCCCAGAAACTTCCTGATGAGGCTGGTAAGGCCGTTACTCAATACAAATCCCCTTTCAGGAGGATTACTTCACCTCCCATTCAGGCTCCAGTTTAAAAAAGAAAATCCTAGGGAACCATGGAGAATCCCAACAGGACACCAAGAACAAAAACCAACAGGTCAAATGTCCAGACAACCTGGAGAGAAGGCTTTATGGGGGGGGGGGGGTAAAAACAATGACAGATTTCATGAAGATTTCCCATAGCTGTCAGAGTATATGGAAAACACAGACCCCAGCTGTACACCCCTTCTGCCGTGGTAACATTCCTTCAAGAGGGACACAAGATATGCAGAGTCATCTATGAGGATGACTTGGGCCTGTTGTGAAAGCTTCCCAACAGCCTGGGACAAGCCCAGCTTTCAGCCCCAACCAGCCAACAGAGGAGTGAGTGGGTCCATCGTACACCGCTCCGCCGCTCACGCAAACTCTTACCTCCCCAGCTCCTCTCCGATGTCATAAAAATCCTCCACCTTCTGCTGCTTGAACGTCTCCATGTTTGGGCTCCTCATCGAGGCCTGGACCATACAATGCTGAAATGGAAAGAAACATAAACTTAGGCCATGCAAATTAGCACAAGCCCAAGAGTCTGCAAAACAACCAACTGCAAGGGAGAAAAGAGTTTTAAGTCACCCATAGTCTTGATTCCTTCAGGACAGGTCTGTGTGAGCAGCTCACTTGTGGCTGATGATGTATAGTGTCCTGGTTACTTTCATGTCAATGACACAAGCTAGAGTCATCTGAAAGGAGGGCCTCCATAATTTCTGGCTATAGGACATTTTTCTTAATTAGTGATTGATCTGGGAGAGCCCAGCCCATTGTGGGTGTTTCCATTCCTGGGCTGGTGGTCCTGGGTTCTATAAGAAGGCAGGCTGAACAGGCCATGATGAACAAGCCAGTAAGTAGCACCCCCTCAATGGCTTCTGCATCAGCTCCTGCCTCCCAGATTCCTGCCCTGTTTGAGTTACTGCGGTAATGAACAGAGATGTAGAAGTGAAAGTCATACAAACCTTTTCCTCCCCAAGTTTCTTTTGTCATGGTGTTTCATCACAGCAATAGTAACTCTAAGACATAGTTTTTATTCCTTTCTTAGCATTCATTTATTTATGTGTATGTGTCTATGTGTGGGTATGTGCACACAAGTGCAGGTGCCAAGAAGGCCAGGAGGGGGCATCAGATGCCCTGGAGCTGGAATTATAGGCAGTTGTGAGCCCTTCCTGTGTTCTGGGAACTCTGGTCCTCTGGAAGAGCAGGAGCAAGACCTCTTAAATGCTAAGCCATCTCCCCAACCCAAACCCATGATTTGATTCTCCTTCTCCTTCTACTTCTCTCTTCTTCTTCTTCTCCTTCTTCTTCTTCTTCTTCTGCTTCTTCTTCTTCTTCCTTCTTCTCTCTTTTGTTCTTTGAGACAGGGTCTTGCTCTGAGCCTATGTTGGTCTAGAGGTCCTTGGCTGGCCTCAAATTTGCAGTTACTCTCCTGCCTCAGCCTCCCCAGAGCTGAGATGGTAGGCATTTCCAGGAATGCACCACTACATCTGCCCCCAGTTTGTTAGGGAAACAGAAAAAAAAAAAAAAAAATTAGTCTGAAGTTCGCTGAGAAAGAGAACCATGGGGACTTCAGCTACTTGTCCTACAGAGAAAAGAGGTTAAATCTGGAGCCAGGAATCTATGACCGCAGCACTGAGAGGCAGGAGGATGGAGGACTCAAGGCCAGCCTGGACTCAACAGGGAAACTGTCTCAAAAAGCCAAGAGCTGGGCTGGAAGAGATGCCTCAAGGGTTATGAGCACTTGCTGCCCTTCTAGAGGACCCAGGTTCCATTCCCAGCATTCATACAATGGCTCACAATCATATGTAACTCCAATGGCCAGAAATCTGACACCTTCTTCTGGCCTCAGCTCACACTGGGCACATGTGCGTCTCGGAATATTCCTTTACACTTGTGAAGATGTGTCACTGCGATAGGTTTAATAAAAAGCTAAACAGCCAATACCTAGGCAGGAGGTGTAGGCGGGACTTTTGCACAGAGAGAGCCCTAGGAGGAAGAGAGGCGGAGTCACCAGTAGATGGAGAGGAAGCAGGGTGGGGAGAACAGATTAAGGATAACTGAGCCACATAAAGGAACACAGATTTTAAAATATGGTTAATTTAAGTTATAAGAACTAGTTAAGAGCACACCTAAGCTAAGGTAAGGCCGAGCTTCCATAATTTATAAGAAATCTCCACGTCTTTTGTGAACTGGAAGCCCAAAGAAAAATCTGTTTACACGTATGATATGCAGATAAGCATGCAGGAAGAACACCCCTACACATAAAATAATATTTTTTAAAGCCAAAATATAGAGATGCAGCTCAGAAGCAGACTATTTGTCCAGCATGTAAGAGCCAGTTTGGCTTGGATAAGTCATATAAGTTACCAGATATGTAGCTTTCCCATCTGTAAAATGGGACCAATACCATAAAAATCAATTTCAAGTCATGAAATTGTTTTGTGAACGATTAAGTGCTGTGGAAAGACAAGGGATTATAGTGACCTCAGCTCCCTTGGGGGCTCTGCCACCCGATGGCGAGTCTGAACGGATTGGTAAATGCTCACTCATCACCTCACAGGGAACATGGGTGGGGATGGTGTGACAAATTAAAACCAGGAGTACCAGGAGTCAGAAGCCTGAGGTGCTGGTTCCAGTACTACCCACATCTAGCTCTGTGACCTCACCACTTGGCAGAGGAACCCTGTTTCTTCATCTATGGAACACAGCCACCTCTGCCTGCACAGGACACCTCAGCAAAAGATACAGGGCAGTTTGAGCCACAGGGAGCCTTCACTGTGGGGCTTGTATCTTCCCTTGCAATCTCCTTACCCAAAGAACTCACCTAAAGACAGCACCCTAAGGGCAAGGCCCCACTAGAGATAAAACCAGCTGCTTATATGGAATCATTCAAGGGTCCTTAGCAAAAGTCTCTTGGCCCATTTTGCCTAGCATGGGCAGCGTCTCTCCCACCTGCCAATCAAATGCCAACTATACTCAGACCATGATCCTGAAAGACTATCCTCTCTAAGCTGAGTAGAGGGACCATCATCACACAGTCACATAGGAAAGGTCTCACCAACATAGACTGGGGCTGTTCTGGATCTCAGGAGATGTACACATTTCTCCTTCTCCCAAACCACAGCCCTGTTACCAAAATGTCCCCTCCTTCATCCTTTCTGTCAAAGCACACAGATCCCTCGACCCCTAGACAGAACAGGCCTAGCTCCCAAGGTCTCACTTGCAGGGCCACCGGCTTATGGATACCCATGACCCTTCATGTACCTCCTCCTTCATGTCTACTGTGCAGCCAGAGTGGGCTTGAGTGCACAGGTACTAAAAAGAGCAAGCTTAGGACCAGGAGTAAGTTGGCATGGATTACTCCTGACACCCACAGCAGGCTGGTACCCTTTATTATCCTCAGTCCCTCATGTGTAGATGGAGGCACCCCTATTAGCCCTAACATCTATTTAATATACTGATGTGGAGATCCACCACAAAAAAAGAAATAAGTTACTATACACATAAGGAGGATGGTTTCACTGGCACAACTTTTACCAGGTCACTGTGTTTCTGTTTCCCATGGCATAAGGTCAATCAATTCAACTCCCTTCTCAGGGAAAGGTTTTGGGGTCCCCTTAGCAACTTTGACTCAACAGAAACTGAACCTGTTTCCACTCTCACTATCCCTGCAAGACTCCTGGAACCAACACTTCTGGCAAATAAACCTTTCATCCAGCTCTTAGGAGAGGGCACCAATCCTACACAGATGGAGAGCACAGAAAACCCCTCAAAGTTCTGTTGGCAGGAACACAAATCGTGGTTCTAAAACAGCTATGAGCTTCCCTTTGGTAAGAGGCCAGCTCCATTTATCATCAGGAGCTGAGCTGGATTCGGAGAAGCCCCAATTTCCCCCCAAAAAATGAACCCGGATGGAGTGGAGGGCAAGAGAACTCAGAACGGGTCACTGCCCTGTTCCACATAGCCTATATTACAGCCACAATAGGCCTGTCCCCTTGGTTCACCCTGCCATGTCACACCTCCAGGAGGGTCTTTCCATGGAAAGCCTGCCTGATAGCTACTCCCTTCCCTCTGGGTCTAGGTGCCCAGCCTCTCCATGAGGCTCCATGACTCTGTTCTTCCCTTCTTCACACTCTAGAAAGATCCTAATAGAACTAGGTTAGAATTTTCTCATTCTAGTTCATAACCTATGCCCATCTCAAAAAGAAAAGCAAAGGAACTAGAAAGATGGCTCAGAGATTAAGAGCACTGGCTGCTCTTGCAGAGGACCTGGGTTCAATCCCCAGCACTCACATGGTGGCTCACAACCATCAGTGTCAGGGAAACTGATACACTCTCCTGGCCTCTGTGGGCACCAGGAACAAATATGCTGCTGCACAGACACACATGCAGGTGAAACACTAATACACATGAAAATAAATCTGGGGGGAAAGAGTCTGGATTCAAATCCAGTTCCCTCACTTAGAACACACTGCCCTTTGTTGAGCACAAGACAGCTTTTCCGAGCTTCAAAATGAGTTCCATGGAAAACAGGCCTAGTCGACCCCGATGTTGGCAAGTGTGCAAAGCAACCAGACATTGCCAGGAGAGATACCAGGAAAAAGCACTCTGAGTCCCGTGGAACTGTTTCTGTGAACACACTGTGAGGAAACACGTGCAGCTGTTCTCCAGAATGGTCCATTTACCAACAACTAAACTACTAGGAACAACTAAAAATTGGAACCATCAAGAAAAGGATGGAGAAACCCAACGGATGTGTGTGTGTGTGTGTGTGTGTGTGTGTGTGTGTGTGTGTGTGTGCCTATACAGCATCGTGAATTAGTGAAGTACTTGCTCAGTGCTATAACAGGCCTGAGGATATGTCTCAGTTATCAGGGTATGTACACAGCATGTACTAAGCCCTAGCTTCCAACCCCGGCACCAAATACACTGGATATGGTTGACACATGCCTGTAATCCCTGCACTCAGGAGGTACCTTGAGTTTGGCCAGTGTGGGCTATAAGGTCAAACCCTGTCTCCAAAAATAAATGAAAAAATGAAAGTGTTGGGATGTAGTTCAGTTGGCAGGGAGCTTGCCTGGCACACACAAAGCAGCTGTAGTTTCGATCCTCAGCACTCCATAAACCAGGAAGCAGGGGAACCAGAAGTTCAAGGCCAACCTCAGCTACATAATGAGTTCAAGACCAGCCTGGGATATATGAGATCCTGAGGGATGGGGAACTAATATCTATTTTAAACTTTTTTTTTCTGATTTACTTATCTGTATGTGTATGGTTACTTTGCCTGTATGCGTATCTATGAACCACATGTATGCAGTATCCAAAGAAGCCAGAAGGGGGCATCAGATCCTATGAACTGGAGTTAAAAATGGTTGTGAGCCATCTTGTGGGTGCTGGTAACAGAACCCAGGTCCCATCTCTCCAGCCTCCTAATAAATATCTACTTTACAAGGGAGATGGCACATGAGGAATGCTTTTGGAGTCCCACGAAGGCAAAGCTTGTAACATTCTCACCTCTGTCCCTGTGTAGCTAATATACAGCACGCATCTATAAATGTTTGATTTGCAGTTAGTGCCCACCTCTTTTCTCAAGACCACAACTCAGAAACTTCCCTATCAAGTAAACACCTGTGGCAGCCTGTCACTCTTTCCTAACATCTCCACAAGCTCAATTTGCATTTTACTTAAATTGGTAAATTGTTATGTACAGCAACCCTTAAGGTAGAATTATAACCACCAACTTTGGAAGCTGAAACTATGCATCACAGGCAAGGGATGTGACTATAACTTTTGACCAGACTCAGGATACCAGCTCCAGACACTCCCAAAATGACACCCAACTGGATGTCCACATTTCTTCCAAGGGAGCCCTGGGAATTCACCTTCCTGCCCATGGCCCTAATACCAGGCAACACTCTAGAGGGTAACACAGACTTCCTAGTGCCCCACAGAAAGGGGCCTCACAGATCCGTTCCAGTTTAATCTCTTCTTCAGAAGTCAGCAAGTGAGGAAATGAGCCAGAGCACTCCCACACTATCCTGGCTGTGGACTGGGGTTTGGGTAAAAACTCACCACGATACAAAAGTCTGAACCCACTGGGGTCTGACCTAACTCACTTGTTTGACAAAAGGAGGAATCTGAGGTTCAGGCAGACTTGCTCTCTATCACACAGCCAGGCCTTCAGGTTTCCTAGGGCTTCTCTTGATAGCCACCTAACTCCTCCATGGGTGGCTCAGAACTGGAAAACCAGTGGCCTTCTGGGGGAACAGCGTCAAGGTAAGAGCGGGTGCCCAGGTCTGCAACACCCCACATTCTCTGTCTTCCCATATGCTCAAACCACATTCTGCAGTGTTAACTCTCTGAGCTTCTCACCCCACCCAATTCCAATAAGAGAAACCCTCCCTAACATCACAGAACCCCTCTGGACAATCCCTGATAACGAAGCTGAGGCTCAGAGAAAGTCAGCGGCCTCCCTGAGTTGACAGAAGTTTCAGCTTCTTTGGGCAGTTCGCCCCCATACTTGACAGAATGGGAGTCTCTAGGGAGGTGGTCAGGGTCAGCTGGCTTTTATTCCTGCCAGCAGGAAGCTTGCCCCAGGGCAGCTGATAAACCACCCATTCCTGACCCCCTCCTCAAGCCTATCAACGCCATCACTTTAAATACCAAAACTGAACAGGGGGGTGGGTAGGAGTGAAACAGAGCTTTTAAAATTAACTCTGAAGCAGTTAAGGTGCCAGGTTCTCTTGGCCAACAAAATCCCCCTAGAATGCTAAGGTAGTTGGGAACCAACGTCAGAAACCAAAAATGGAGCACTTAGCTGACTTCGGGTTCTAGAGGACAGGGCGCCAAGAAGTGTCCCTCCACCTGTCCACAGCTCATTAGGCCACACTGGAGGTTCATTTCACAGGAAGCAACCTCCCGGGCCGAGGAGGGAGGAGGAGGTGTGAGCCCACAAAGACTGGGCTTGTCTCTCTTCTACCGGGAACTTGTCCCCTTTGAGGGGGCCAAACTTGTTGCATGGCTCTTCCTTTCTCCTGCCCTGGTGCCAGGCCTCTGTCCGCCTCCCCCACCCCGTCCCCGGGATCAGAGCGCCAAGCTCAGGAGGTACTCCCCGAGGTAGTGGCGTGCAGACTAGCCTCCGGGTGCCGCCACAGCGCACACACCGCAGAAGGGCCCTATCCTAGACAGTCAATGTCTCGCCACCCCAGCCCCAGCTGCCGTCAAGCCCCGCGGCCCGGACGCTACTCACGGCGAAAAGCTGTGCTGCATGTGCGACGGGCAGGACAGACACCGGGGCGCGTCGGGGTGCGCGGCGCTCGGCTCAGCTCTGCTCCCTGCGCCCGGCGTCCTCCGCTGAGCCGCAGGGGTGTCGAGGGGGCGGAGCGGCCAGCCCCGTCCCAGGCGCCGGCTGGAGGCGCGCCCGGACACTCGGCCCGGGACTCGGGGCGCCCCCTGCTGGAACCCCTGCGGGACCGCCCCGAGGTGAAGGCTCGGATGCTCAGGCGACCATCAGGTTCCCTGCTTCCTTTCCTGCCCTGTTGCTCACATGCTGTGCCACCTAGGGCGAATCAACTTGAGTGAACTGATGTTCCACACACTACACAGCCCGGCCCAAATGTGCAGAAAAAAGTATTTCTCTGCCCTTCATCACACACCCTGAGGAGGCCCCACCTCCCCAACTCCTAGCTCCAGTATCCTTGGATTGCACAGATTCTCTAGGGACCTCACCTTTGTCTCACACAAGGGCACTTATCCCCCTGCCCATCCTGAGGACTGCCTGCGTTTGCCCTTCCCACGCCAGCCCTGGCATCATTCCTGAGTGCGGCCCCTGCATCACCATCAAGCCTCTCTTAATGAAGGACTTGGGAGTGGATTCTTCCCCTCTCCCTTCTGCCAGAAATTATCAAAGGAGAAAAGAAATCGTGTGGTAGTGTTGGTGGCTGGAAACAAAACTGAAGCCAAGTTCAACGGTCTCAGCTTAAGACCGGAAGCCCATCAAGGAGGGAAATAAAGACTGTAGTCTAGAGCGTCCAACCCTAAGTTACTGAGACAGTTAATAACTGTCAGTTTGGCTGGATCTGCAGTTACTTAGAAGAGAAACCTCTGAGCATGCCTACAGGAATTTCTAGATTGAGTTACCTGAGCTTTGGGGAGACCCACCCCAGGTGTGGACAGCAATATTGCATGCAGGAGGGAAAGAGACAGTGGACAGTGAGCCCCACCCTACTCTGATCATTGCTATAGTGTCAGGACAGCCTCAGCGAAGGTCCCAGATCTTCATGTGTGACATTTTAGGTTTGTACAGGTTCTCCTCAGTGAACCGAGTACCAGCATATCTCTCTCTCTCTCTCTCTCTCTCTCTCTCTCTCTCTCTCTCTCTCTCTCCCTCCCTCCCTCCCTCTCCTTCCCTCCCTCTCTCTCTCCCTCCTCCTTCCTTCCTGATGTGGGATACAATGTAAACAGCTTCCTCACCCTCCTGCTGCCATGGTGGACTATAAGCCAAAATAATCCCTTTCTTAAATTGCTTCCCCTGCCCCTTGGGTATTTTCTCACAGAATCAAGAAAAGTAACACAGTTACTCATAAGGATCATCTCAAGAGCCGAGATCTTACCCAAGAGCTGAGATCTTAGGTTTGAGTCATGGGTATGGTCAAAGTACTGCTCAACCATCCTATGTGTGGTCACCAGAAAGTGGGACCAATTCTTCTAGTACTTTCTGGTGGAGTTATGAGTGATGCTGGGGTAACCCAGAGGAGCACACCTCAGCCTTTTCAACACGAGTCACTGACAGCCCCCCCCCCCATTCTGATCATTGCCTCAGTGTGAGGGACAGTCTCCGGGCAGATCCCAGACTTTCACATTTGACCTTTCAGGTTTGTACAGGTTCTGGGGTTCTCCTCAGAACACCATGCTACAGAGGAATAGCCACTATCTGGTGGCTTCTGAAGTCAGTGGGCACAGAGAAGGATACATCCTGATGGTGAGGTGTTACCACAGTAGGGAGGTCCCTCATACTACAACCGGTCCCAAATACCTCCTTTCCTGTCTTTAGTTCTGTTGCTGTGTAAGAAACCATCCTAGCCTTGCTGACACAAAACAAGCCTTTCATTAAGTTCCTGCATTCTTGGAGTCCATTCTCTAAAAGTCACTCTAGTGTGAACCCTGACACCCTTAGTTAAGTACTTCCTTGTCATTCCCATTTTACTTAGATTCATATCTACTTCCTTTCTTCTTCTTCTTCTTTAAGTTTTTTTGGGGGTTTTTTTGTTTGTTTGTTTGGTTGGTTGGTTGGTTTGGTTTTCATGGTTCTCTGTATTGCTTTGGAGTCTGTCCTGGAACTCTCTCTGTAGACCAGGCTGGCCCTGAACTCACAAAAATCTACCTGCCTCTACCTCCTCAGTGCTGGGATTAAAGGCATATGCCACCACTGCCCAGCTCTAATATCCACTTTCAATAAGAGCAAAAACTATCTGTTGTCCATATTGAACTCACAGATTGTATGCTATCCAGACCTAATAAAAAAGCATGTTAGGCTGAATGCAAATGTAAGATCAAAAAGAAAATAAAACATGACTACCTTGTTCTGTATTGTTCCCTATTGTGGTTACTTTTCTGCAATATACATATGACAAAAGCAACTAAAGGAAGGAAAGTGCTGTGGAATATTATTTTAAGAAGTTACACTTGGGGTTGGAGAGATGGCTCAGAGGTTAAGAGCGCTGCCTACTCTTTGAGAGGTCCTGAGTTCAATTCCCAGCAACCACATGGTGGTTCACAACCATCTATAGGGAGATCTGGTGCCCTCTTCTGGCCTGCAGGCAGAACACTGAACACAGAAACAAATCTTTTTAAAAAAGAAACGTTAAAAAAGAAAAAAAAGATGTTACTTTTTATTGTTGTTTAGGGTTGTTTTGTTTGTTTGTTGGGTTGGTTGGTTTTTGGAGACAGGGTTTCTCTGCTTTGGAGCCTGTCCTGGAACTAGCTCTTGTAGACCAGGCTGATCTGACAGAGATCTGCCTGCCTCTGCCTTCCAAGTGCCAGGATTAAAGGCGTGCAGCACCACCATCTGGCTTTAAGATGTTACATTTGTTTGTGCTGTGGAAGCATTTAATGATGCAAGGATGTACTGAATTCTTTTATGTTCCATTTGTTTAACTCTGTAAAAGCTGTATCACTTTGCCTCTTTAAAAAACCTGATTGGGGCTGGTCTGTGGTAGTGCTTGCCTTTAATCCCAGCACTAGGGAGGCAGAGTCAGGCAGAACTCTGTGAATTCGAGACCAGCCTGGTCTACAAGAGCTAGTTCCAGGACAGCCTCCAAAACCAGAGAAACCCTGTCTCAAAAAATCAAAAAAAAAAAAAAAAAAGAAAGAAACTGATTGGTCTAATAAAGAGATAAATGTCCAATAGCAAGGCAGGAGAGAAAAATTGGTGGGGGTGGCAGGGCAGGCAAAGAGAATAAATAGGAGAAATCTGGGGAATAAAGATCAAGGAGCAAGTAAAGGAGAGGAGGACTCCAGGGACCAGGCACCCAGCTACACAGCGCCACAGAGTAAGAAAAAAGAAATACAGAAACAGAGAAGACAAAAGCCCAGAGGCGAAAGATACAGAATAATTTAAGCTAAGAAAAGCTGGCAAGAAACAAGCCAAGCTAAGGCCAGGTACTAAAAACTAAGAATAAGCTTTTGTGTGTGATTTATTTGGGAGCTGGGTGGTGGGCCCCCAAAAGAGCCAAAGAGAGAAAACAAAAACAAAAACCCACAACTTCAGGAAAGGTTCATTGTTGGCTCACAGTTGAAGGGCATGCAGGAGCATGAGGTAGCTGATGACGTTTTGTTCCCAGTCAGGAAGCAGAGAGAAATGAATGCTTGCTCAGCTCTCTTTCTGCTTCGTGTTCAGTCCAGAGTCCAACCCCTGGAATGGCATCAATTACATAAGAAGTGGGTCTTCCCCATCAATCAACTCAATCTAGAAATTCCCTCTTGGATATGCCCAGAGGTGTGTGTTCTAGATGATTCTGTCTTTCCAAAACAAAAATGAATATTAGCTATCACAAACCTCCAGGAGAAGATACTAGATAATTGCATGCTGATAACCTGGAAAAAAAGGTCCCAGCGGCAGGCAGCAAAGGGCAGCCACAATGGGGCTATGCCACATCTGGTGCCTGATGAGTTGATAGAACCTAATGACCTCCTGACAAAGGGACAGTGTAAGGATGAAGCTTGTGTATGGGTTGGCCATGCCAGATGGCACTGGGTTTGTTTATGGGATGCAAGATATGGGGGCTAAATGAAGGACTAAGTATAAAAACAAGCTTGAACAAGGGTCTTGACTGCTCTGTGCCCTGGAAGTCAAATGGAGCTAAAAATAACATGTTCAGTTAGTTTTCAATGCCTTTTTGGTGGTGGCGATAGTTTTTGAGATAGGGTTGGAGCCTGTCCTGGAAGTCACTTTGTAGACCAGGCTGGCTTCGAACTCACAGAGATCTGCCTGCCTCTGCCCCCAAGTGCTAAGGTTAAAGGTGTGCACCACTACCACCCAGTCTAGTTTTCAACACCTTTCCTGGCCCTCCATCAAGGTTTCAGTGAGTGTTAGCTACTTCTGTCGTTCTGTAAATGTCCAGGTGTGAGCTCCTTTAGGGAAAAGGTACATCTTATTCACCTTTGCACCCACTCCACCCCCACCCTGCCCAGAGCAGATTCTAAGGAAGTACCAAATAAAGTCTGGAATGTAGACGTCTTGCCAATGGATCCAGAGATGACAGGTCTCCTATGGCTAATCAGGTGACTCTCCATGGCTGATTCACTGGTTGGGTGGCAGAGTCAGGAAGCCTCCTCTTCCCAAAGGCGGCCTAGTGACCTGCCTGCCCAGGCCCGTACTCTCTGCCCTTTTACACCCAGCCATATAGAGCTTGGCTACAGATCAAGCATCAACAGAGCTCTTCCTTCTTCCTGAGGAGGTCCGGTGGCTTTTGTAACTACAATCTTGCAAGCTCTTGAGCCCACCGTGGGAAGGGCAAGAGAGAGGAAAAGAAGGAGCGATAGCTGAGAGGCTTGGGTGATGGGGATACCCAGGGCTTTGCAAGCATTGCAAGCATTGCACTGCACTTGCAGGATACTGACTCAAGGAGAGATGGAGGCCTGTCCCATGAGGAGCCTGGAGAGAAAGAGAAACCTGGAGCTTAAAAGACCAGAAGACAAGAGGATGAGGACAACAGGAACTTCTGCATGTAAAGGGATGTGGGTGTGAAACCACTTTTATGACCTGGCCAGCAGAGCGCCACAGTGAGGGGTCTTGACCCAAGTACTTGCTTTCTGCTTAGGGCAGAGTCTAGTGATACGGTACTTAGCCAAGC